CCGGCCAAGCCCGCAGCTGAGGCCCCGTGCCGTCCAGTGTGACCGGCCGCCGTCACCGCTCGGACCGCGAGGAGGCGCACTCAATCGCCGCCCCACCCCAATCAATAGCGGCCGCGGCCGTGGCGCCGATCGACTCGTCTAATTCAGTCGGGTCGCCCGGTCCGCGGCGGCGAGACACGGATCACACGCAGTGCGGGCGGGGAGGGAGAACAGCAGAGACAGAGAGGGAGAACACCGGGGACAGAGAGGGAGAACACCAGAGACAGAGAGGGAGAACACCAGAGACAGAGAAGAACACCAGAGATAGAGAGGGAAAACACCAGGGATAGAGAGTGAGAACAACAGGGATAGAGAGTGAATAACAGAGACAGGGCAGGGAGGGAGAACGGCAGAGACGGCGGGGAGGGAGGACAGCAGTCAGCAGAGTTAGGTGGAGACCGGACCGGGTCAGGCACAGACCGGACCGGGTCAGCAGACACAGACCAGACCGGGTTAGACAGATACAGACCGGACCGGGTTAGACAGACACAGACCGGACCGTGTTAGACAGACACAGGCGCACACCGGATCGGGTCAGACACAGACCACACCGGACCAGACAGACACAGACCGGGTTAGACAGACACAGACCGGACCGGGTCAGACACAGACCGGACCGGGTTAGACAGACACAGACGCAAACCGGACCGGGCCGGGTCAGACGTACGAGAGCCGGAGAATGAGTCAGGCGGAAGACGGAGGCAAGATGCATCTACGAGTGCACACCTCATCAAGGTGCACATCTCGTAATGTAATCCGGACAGTCTTTCACTGTCGATAATGATATACACATACTCAGATACACCACTGCGATTAAGGTGCACCGAGTTTGAGAGGATACATGCCAGATCAGACATGATATGATGATGTTGAATCAGAGACCATTATTTTTGGTCGAATAACGCCTGTGGAAGACAGAAACGTTTCTTTCTTAATCAAAGGAATATCTGCGGTTATCGACCAATCCCAAAATAAACGGCATTGATTTTACATACCACAGTCCACAACAATACCTCAGCTTCTGGGCAGAGCCAGCTATTTGGCCTCCCGCTCAAGGAGAGCAGATCAGAGCTCCCAGCTCCTTCACCAGTCACAGGTGCGGCACTCAGCCTGATTGACGTCTCCGAACAGGCGCCTGCTCGGAGAATGACTACCTGACCGCGCTCGGCTTACCGACGAATTGCCTCAGTTTGGTGTTAGATCCTCAAGTTTGCCGGTTTGCTGACTCGATCCAATCCAGCTGGACACGGGCGGTTCAATACAGCCGGCGCACACCATCTTTGAAGTTCCGTGCCTGCCACTCACTCACTCAAAGCACTCACTAAAATGTTTGAGAAAGACCAATATTTAAGATGATCATCCAACGCGCCAAACGTACCAACCCAATGGCACCAACAGTTTTGCTCTCAGACTATTTATGTTGATGATATCCACTAAAGACCAAGACATTAACGGCTACCAACCTACATACCACTCGGATTTCATTTTCACATATAGGTACCAAGCTTTTTCCTGGAACCTAGGAGGTCCACACCTTTGATTTTTCGAAGCTCTGGGGCCGTATTCACGTCGATCATTTTCGTAAGAATTTTCTTAAGTTTGACATACTTCTTAAGTAATTTTTTTATTCACGTGAATTCCGTCGATAAAAACTTAAGAAGTGTCGACGTGAATACCAAATTACACTTACGAAAGAAAATTGACTTACGAAGTCGACGTGAATATGGCCCCTGGTTACGAGCGAGCGAGCGCAGCGAGCGAAGTGAGTCTTTTCAATATAACGGAAAAATCTCAGTATGAGCGGCCCGGCCCGGCCCGGCCCGGCCTGTAACGCTTTTGAGAGGCTTATATCTCAGCAACCGCTGGACCGATTGGCCTGCGGTCTTTTTTGTTGTGTAGCCCCATCCCTTCTACCCCGTAATTGACTACTTTTGATACATCTCAGTGACCGTGGTGGCACGTGCCACGTGAAAAGTCAAGGGTGTTCAAGCTGTTTTGCAAAAGTAGTGATTTTGAGAGGCTCATATCTCAGCAGCCGCTTGGGCGATTGACTTGCGGTAATTTTTGTAGGGTAGCAGCATCCCTTCTACCCAAAATAGGATACTCTCAATGTATGTGGGTCACCCCCAGTGCACGTGCAAAATACAACAATAAGAGGTGCCAAATTTGTTCCCATTTCAGTAACTCGGTAATTACTGGGCCGATTTCGCTGAAACTTGGCATACAGGTAGGCACCCACCAGGCAATGCATTCCCATGTGTTGCGGTTAGGGTGCTACTGCACGTGCGCACGTGCAGGGGGCATTTCCAGATCTCGAGAACGGCTGGGCCGATTGCGCTCAAATTTGGTGCACGGTTGGGGACCAGTTAGTAGGGTGCCGTGCAAAAGTCATTTTGGACCCCGTTTGCACGTGCGCACGTGCAGAATGCCGCTTCCAGATCTCAGGAACGGCTGGGCCGATTGCGTTCAAATTTGGCACACCGCTAGTGACCGGTTAGAAGGGTGTTTTGCACAAGCCCGTTGGAAGCACCCTCTCGCCCTTCCGCACGTGCAGGGCTCACTATCTCGCTCGCTCGTTCTTCGCCCAAAAGGCGTTTTACTGGTACGATACAGATAGCTTGTGCACAATAAGCGACGAGACGAGATATTGTGCCAACCCGCCTAGCCTTGGGCACTAGGCACTGGGTGACGGGTGTGCAGACGGTGCAGACCGTTAGGTCAAGCGAAGAATAAACTCCATCAGACACCGACGCATTTAGGATTCCAGTTTCCACCAATAGTTTGTAATATTTGATGGCCAAATACTGAAACCTTCCGGACAGTTCAAACACCAACTGTCTCATCTCACCCAAGGACGCAGATTCTGCAAAAGAGTTCAAAATTCTTAACTGAAATATCAGTACTGACAAAACTTACAATTTTGACTATACGGCATTTATCGGAATGAACATCCATGATTTCCTTGAATGAATGTGGGTGGCCCGCAGTGTAGCCCAATGTAGCCGTAAGCCGACCCAGTGTAGGTATCTCCTTTCGGCTGAACTGAACTTACCTTACCTTCGTGGTGATCGGGATTGAAAAGGCCACCTGGCCTGGGAATCTCGCTCTTATCGAGCTCATATCAGGGTGCAGGCTGGGCTCTCAGGGATAGGGGGTGTCGAACATGATATCACCTTGTCCAGCCGGGCCTTGAACTGGTTGACGGACTGTGCCATGACCACTGTACTTGGTAGGGAGTTCCAGTCATTTATGACTCTGAAGCAGAACGCATTTCTGCGCACGGGTTTAGTGGCCCTCGGTTTCTCGAGCTTCCACTCGTGGCACCTGGTTCGAGCTGAGTTGATCCGGGTACGTATCGAACAATAAATCTGATAGGGAAGTCATTCACAGCGGATTTGACTACTTAGCCGTGGCCTTGGCTGCGGCCAAGTGGTGGTCCTCAAGACCTGTCATTAGCCATGCGCATCTCGCCCTACCAACGAGCAACAACACCGAACCCTCACATGAGCCGAGCGCATCTCGTTTACGAATGCTGCAGAGTGCAATATTATGCAACAAACTCAGATTCTTTCAACGCAACCCATTAGCTGCGTCGAACATACCCGATAAATTGTTTTCATTTGACTGCTTGAATTGGGCAGAGCAGTGACTTTCTGGTCCTCCAATCGACTTTCTGGTCCTCCAATCGGCCGCATAAATCTGGAATCCCTCTCCTCGGCCTCAAGGACCCTCTTTGATCTCAGAGGGCCTGATACATCATAGGTAAGGCTCATGGTGGCCTGACATAGCCCTCATGTCACCTCAGAGGGCCATCCAGTGGCCTTAGAGGAAACTTTGTGGTCTTTGAAGGCCCTCTATTCGCCTTAGAGGACCCTGTTTGATCTCAAAGGGCCCTGTTTGACCTCAAAGGGCCCTCTTTGAGGTGGCTGAGAGGGCCCTTTGATCACCTCAGAGGACGCTCTGGTGACCTCCAGGGACCACCTTTGATCTAAGAGGACCGTCTGTTGGCCTCATAGGACACCCTGTGGCCTGAAAATGACCCACATACCTCATGGGGCCTCCTGATCATCTTAAGGGGCTCTCTGTGTCCCTGAGAGGGCCCTCACCCTCTGTGTACCTGAGAGGGCCCTCTGTGCCTGAGAGGGCCCTCTGTGCCTGAGAGGGCCCTCAATGTGCCTGAGAGGGCCCTCTGTGTGCCTGAGAGGATCCTGTTCGTTCCAAAGGGCCCTATGTTTACTTCACAAGGTCCCTCATTGGCCTAAAGGTGCCCTCTGATAGTCCTCAAATGGCCCCTAAAAGAGTTCCCCAATACTTTTTCAGTATGTGAAAAAATGGGAAGTGGTCAAAAGGACCCTCAAAGTCATTTCATTTCTTTTTCAAGTTAAAAAACTTTTCTAGGCTCCAGGGGGGTCCTAAGACCCCCAGAACCCCCCCCCCCGGCCCACACCCTTGGATACGCCACTGCTTCCGGTAGCTAGGTACAAGGTTTTTTCAATTGTCCTCATCCATCTTGTCTGATCTGTCATGTGACATGTCCCTCTGGGCCAATTCTACGCCGCACTTAACTAAATTCGCACCACACTGCACCAAATCTACACCAGGCAACATCCAGCTAAATCCCACCTCCACTGATGAAATTTCATCAAAATTGCCATACTTCACATACTCATGCTGGGGCTAGGGGCGGACGACGGTGAAAACAGGGCGCCCATTTGATCAAGATTCGTGAAATTCTTCTTCTTCTTCTTTGTGGGTTAGGGCGCGCAGCCATTCATGAAATTCACACGTGATGTTTAGCATGTAGAAGGCAAGGGGGAGAAGTTCTAAATGCCACGTGACTAATATGCCCTCCGGCGCCCTGTTTTCACCGGCGTCCCTAGGGGCGGCCGAGGGCTGTGTCAAGGTGACACTGATTCAGATAACAAACATTGACATTGACATGGGCATTGAAGTGAACTTACCTACCCAGTTGACCAGTTGCAATGCAGGTTCCCTGTACCAGCAGAAAACAGAATTATTCGACTAATTTGAATTCTATCAATCTCTTGACCTAACGACCCAATTTTAAGGGCCTTGCAACGATCCAACGACTTCGCCCCGCAGCATCACAAACTCAGATCCACTATCACACAATTAAAAAGCACAAATTGAAATCATAACAAAACATTAGTGAACCAGGTTAACCGTAAAGCGCTATCTGGCAGCTCACTGCCAGCAGGAGGAAGTGCAGAGAAAAGTTTATTTTTTGAAGACTTTTTAAGAAGTCGCTAGAAAGAGGAGTAATTTTCGTAAAGTTTTGACATTTCAATTTATTGATTGAGAATGAAAATCAGGATTCTGCAGGAATTCAACCATAACAGCATGACATGTGATCTTACATAGCACATTTTGAAGCCCTTATTTCTCTGTGGGTGCGACTTGCGAGTTAAACTTGGAAAAACTGTATGGGACTTCTGGTTATTGAGATCGGAGGCCGAGTAGGAATTGCCATTTTATCATAAAAATAAGAAAGATAAAACGATTGTAACTTTTATTATGCAATTGGCTGACGCAATAACTGTCTGCCTGATGCCTCACAGCCTCAACAAAATCATATAGGGCCTTCCCATATAACTCTCCAAAAAAGAAGACTATTGAGATAATTTAGCGATCTGGTAAAAACTTTAATGAAGCTAGATTGATTATTGACGCAGCAAAGACAATTACGACGCCAAGGATATATTCTGAAAAATGACGTATATCATAAATTATGGGCTGATTTTTAACACATTTAACACAAAATATGTTTACGAAAAAGGAAAAGCCATACAAATATCAACTACCAATGTGACTTGATCATTAAAAGTGACAAACTAAACAATAATTGAAGTTTTACGTTTATTTTGTTCTGTAGACACTAGGGCCCTGTTTCACCGGTGATAGCAGCACGCCACTATCAAATTGCGCGAGCTGACGTAATGTGATGACGTCATACTGCTGACGTAAGGGATAATTCTGGCGCACGATTGCCGCAATATTGTTTTACGTCATCAACTAAATGTTCGAAGTTTACGTCCAAATTTTGCTTAAACCCAACTTTTTTTAAATACATCATATTGAAAAAATATATATCAAAAATATATATACTATCATGACTGCATAAACTCTTACTTTTAAAGGCTCATACGTCACTTAATGCCGCCGCCAAGGTCGCGGCAATCGTGCGCCGGAACTACCCATTACGTCAACAGTATGGCGTCACAACATGACGTCAGCTCGCGAAACGTGATAGCAGCTTGCTGCTATCACCGGTGAAACAGGGCCTAGATCGCAAAATATAGGTAACTAAACAAGCCTGCGTCCGCCCATATGGCAGGCGCGTGTGTTTTTATATTGAGAAGAGGGTAATCGGGGTGCCCATTTTACCATTTTAGTTAACTTTTTTATTCGTTTCAGCCAGCTCTATGTTGTATGTGTATTGTAGTCCCTCTGTGCTATTTATATTGCCAACATTGATGTCAGTTGGGCAAACTAGGCGGCGGGAATCAAAATATGGAGGCATCAAAATATTGATTCTAGTGGGCGGAGCTTTGACCATATATGGGCATAGAATCAATATTTTGATTCAATTTGGGACATTCCCACCTTCAGACGACCCGTTACGGCGGAAATAACCCCCATGACGGCGAGATTTTTTGACAAGTCAAAACAAAAAACTTCCCCGCTTCAATTTTTCGCTGCATGGCTATCAGCCGTTTGTCGCGCGTACCTTTACGAATGGCATAAAGATTTCGCCGCCATAATTCAACAAAAACGTGCTGATAAAACTTGCTCTGTTTATCATTAACGACGAGCCTTTGTATTTTTTTCATAATTTTGTCTAAAAGAAAATAAAAAATGCGTTATTTAGTTGTATAATTCATTTATAAGAAATATTCTTTTTCTTTGTATCTAGCCACGATTTCCGGTTCCCGCCATTTCGCGCCGGCGTCGTGGGTGTGTGGATGCAACGTAGTGCTCCCGGTTTTATTTTGTCTAAGCGACCTTTTCTGACGTGTAAGTAACAATGGATCATATTTTAAGATACTTTGAAGTGTGTTTTTCAATTTCAGGCATGTGATCTTAACGTTTCTTACCGAAAACTCGTTTTAAGAGATGGTTTTAGGAACATGGCGCGGTAGCGACGTCAGCGGCGCGGGACGCCTTCTCACTCTTCTATTGTCTTTTTAAGCTATATTTTTTTGAAAATGATGTCTTAGGTGTAGTATTTCAGTGAAATATGATGTCCTTTAAAAGTTACGGTATAAATTAGGTACAAGAAGCCTAATGTTTTGTCTCACCTGATAGAATTGTTGGGTGGACTCATGAAATGGGGGCAGTGCATGTCCAGTATTTTACATAATTTGGATGTTTTAGCCTCTGCTTGTGTCTCACTCACCCAATTGTTGCTACAACTTTAATTTGTAGCATTTAAATTTTTAATGGCAACTAGGTTATTGACTTGTTCCGAGTCAAGATTGAAAGGTCGTAGTGCATGTTCGTGTTTGCCTTATCTAAATAGTAGGTATGTATGCTTGGCTTGTAATTGCTTCGCCGATTTTTGCTACATATTTAATGATGCTTACTTTAAGTGTAACAAAAGCAAGTTGCTGAATGGTGTAAGCCATATTTACATTATGCGTGATCTTCAAGAAAATTATGTGTCTAATGTACGGCAGTCCAGGGAATGCTGGATAGTTAATTTTCAGGATTGTCCATGCCAAAGTTAATTTTAGAGGCCAGTTTTATCAACACAAATAGCTGCCTGCTGAAATTTTTTGCCTTAAGACTGTTTCACATATGGAGCGTTAACATGATGGGCACGTAAAAGGATAGGGCTGTACCGTTCATGCTCTGTATGTGAAGTAACTTTTAAACAAAAAAAAAAATCCAGCAGTCACCTATTTTTCTGTTGGTACAACTGGCCTCAGATCTACTTTTTTGGCAGAATTTATATAATTGCATGAGATGACAGTTGTTGGCGCACCTGGTGGCGTTCAGTGGAAATTTAAGTGACATTAAGTATTTAATTTTTTATTAAATACATTCTAAAATTAATAGTTGCTGAACAAGGGGAATAATAACACATATAGTTTCCTAATTTATTGTCCACAAATGTCCTAATTATTGTGTTCTGTTGTTTGCTGCAGGTCAACCAAGGATCAAACACTGGTCGTTGCGGGGATCGGCTTCAGAGGGCCAAGGATGGCGTCTTGAATCGCTGTTTAGTCGACAGGCAACTGTATGACGCCATCCCTGTCAACCAGAGCGTCGACTGAAGTAGGGCGGCGTTGCGCGGACCTGGCCGCACCCGACCAACCGGCGGAGTACCTGACTCGGGCTGGGCGGAGACTACCTACATCACGACCTTTTGAACTTTGATCTCGTGGCGAGAAACAATATGACGTAAGGAAGTGTGTATGTGGCTGGCGGGGCCGAGGGTGAAATGCGCCACGTGTTTATCCTGCCGGATGACGACAGCGTCACCAACCTGTCAAAGAACGAGCTGGTGCAGCGCGTGATGACTGCTATCTCGTCCCTAGAACCGGAGTAGAAAAACGTGCGCATAGCCCAGATGAAGCGAACCAAAACACAGACAGGACTGATAGCTTTTCGGTCGAGAATGTTCTGAAGATGCTGATCAGTAGACCAATTGGTGACCGTTTTCGGTGGTAATATGGGATCTTGTGGTGTTCCAAAGCGACCTGCTTTGGGTGTGGACATAAGTGGCTCAACCTGACAGGATTGATGTTTTAGGTAGCCGTGCTAATCATAAACCCTATATTGAGTGTATCTGTACAAATTTTGTTTATATTTATTTCATGTATTTGATTCGAAACCGAAAATTGCTGTTTGTAATTAGGCAACATCGAGACGTTGAGGTCATTCTCCAGACGTTTATTTGTTTTTTTCTCACCTGTCCGCGGTATGTCTTATTGGTTAGGTCTCAGTTTCAAATATTATTAACTGCATGTTTTGCAAATACGTAGCCATATTGAATAAGAGACGTGTCCTAAAAGTGAGTATTGCTTTGCATGGGATGTGAGCATCAACGACAGGGCTTTGTGATGGCAAATATGTGGCAATTGCAGGGATCGTTGTGAAATGTGTTATGAATATCATCGTATTATTTGCGAATGCAAATACATCCGTGTATCATATTTTCATTCAAATTGTGCAATTTGTGCAACGGGCTTGAGTATATTGTTCGGCGAAATATCTCCTACTGTACTCCACAGAAATGGGACGGGATACAGATGCGTAGAAACACATTCATGAACACGTGAAAGACGATAAGTTAACTTTTTTTTACTCAAAATCAATGCTACAAAGCAGGGATGTGGAGCCGTGAAAATGTCAGACGGCTTCGGCTCCGGAGGAAAAAATCGGCTCCAGCTCCGGCTCCGGCTCCGAGTAAAATGGTCGGGCTTCGGTTCCGGCTCCGACTCAGTACAACCCCTATACAAAGGTCAGCACGGCTCCCTTCACGCATTCCCTCGAAGGCTTGCAGCTTTGAGCAGGGAGCCAGGGTGAGTGCTGAAAATCCCTGGTCTACCGTGGGAATAAGGTCTAGAAAAAAATTACACGATCCTGTGCTGATAATATCTTAATGAATTTATTGAATTTGCATTATTTGCACACAAGAAACATCCCATAAATCAATTTAAAGGGTGAAGTACGTCTGCAGAAAGTCAGTTCGCAGAATCAATATATTGATAAACCAGCTGATTTCAGAATCAAAATAATGATTAGCCAGCTGTTTGCAGAATCAAAATATTGATTCTCGCCGGGATTAGCCGCCGTGATGAATCAATATCTTGATTATTTTCAAGACACTTTCCAAAACTAACCAAAGAGGTTAGGGCTATTGTTTCGTGCCTGGTGGGCAGCTTCAACGTTGCTCTTCATTTTGTGAAGAAACTATCTTGAAATTGTAGCCGGTTGCTGAAGAATTGACGTTTCTGTGATGGTCTGCACGTATGCCCATATATGGTCAAAGCTCCGCCCACTAGAATCAATATTTTGATGCCTCCATATTTTGATTCCCGCCGCCTAGTTTGCCCAACTGATGTGATCGGTGACTTCCTCGCATTCTGCGAGTTCGCGTTGCGACTCGGACCTTAGGTACTTATGTAATTCAAGTGGTATTCATATTTTGAAGGCTGGAAACAAAAGGTAGGTGTTACAGTGATGACTATATTCCTGTCCCTAATGCATGATGGTCATGAATGGCTTCCCTGCTTCATATTCATCATTTAAAGTATGGGTGTATCAGTTGTGTCACATCATGCCGAGAAACTGAAACTGAAGTTGAAAAAATAGAAATACAAAAAAAAAATGAATACCTACTTTCTAAGATTAAGATATAAGATAACCCAAGCTGTTAATCTTTGATCAACGTATCCACTCCTCTGCACTCTAAATGTAATGCTTCATACATTATTATTGGCATGCCAGTTCCCTTAAAATTCCCTCCACTACTGGCTGGCTACTTGGCTTTGAGTGTGCGTGCAAATGTTTGTTATGTGTATTGTGTTTGTGTGCATCATATTCTTTGGTTTATATTGTGACTCTTGCTCTTTAGTGGGTCAAGTGCCTATTGTGGCTTGATGAATAGGGACCTAAATACCAACACAAATAACAAATACAGATAAGCTGGAAATCAGAACCAGTGAACATGACACAATAAAGCCTAGTATTTGCACAATGGAATCTGGGAATCTGCACTTGAAAAATGATGAACAGCACAAAAAATATAAAAAAAAACTTCTAGATGACCTTACGAGGGGCCTGTTCCAGCGCCTCCAGAAACCTCCAGAAAGCTCCAGAAAGCTCCAGAATCCTCCAGAGAGCGTTCCAGCGCCTCCAGAAAGCTCCAGAAAGCTCTCGCCAAAGCTCCAGAAACCTCCAGTAGCCTCCAGAGAGTTGAGAGGTCCAAATTTCTCTGGAGGCTCTGGTCTACAATTATGGCGCACATGTGACAATCGCGAATGTAAACAAAGGACTTTTGACTGATTATTTTACAACTTAAATGTAAAGAAAATTACATTGCTATAATTTTGTTAATCTTTCTTAATAAAATTGAAAATAAATTTTGTGTTTCAAGAGAGAACAATCGTCATTCTTTTGGTATATGTGATGCCAATCTCCAGAAATCTCCAGATTGCGTTCCAGCGCCTCCAGTGAAACCTCTGGTAGAGCCTCCAGTCAAGAATTTCTACTGGAGGCGCTGGAACAGGCCCTGATACTGACTCCTATGCAATTTAATTTTTACCTACTTTTGGCAGCATCATAAGCTGTTTGGATAGGTGACATGTAAAACAAACAGCTTACAAGCAAATAACATGTAATGATGCCTGTTTCTGAACTCTGAAGTTATCTGATATGACTGGTTTGATAGGTATATACAAATGCAATAATGTTTCAGAACTGCAGCTCATACCTACACATGTTGTGTGTGTGTGTGTTTTTTTAGAGCAATTGTAAGTACATGAATGAAAACAACCTGTGCTAAAACTGTCCCTACAGTGCAGTGCAGCACATGCATACTAATGGGAAATGGCATACCCTCTTGGATATATGGGGACAGGGGTGATGCTTCTGTATCAGAAACTATTGAAGCAACACCTGTAACCTACATTTTGTCATGAATAAGACATGGGTGTTAACAACTCAGCCAAGTGAGACAAGTCCATGCTGGTTAGGTTGCTTGCATTATCTTGTGTGCTCAACATGGAACAGCAATTTATGGATGGATGCATGTGTTTTTGACACTCCCTCAAACACTTTTGTGACGTGTCTTGGAGACCTGCTTTTTTAAACCACTCACCAGGGCCTATTAGGGCTAAGGCAATACCTGGGGAAAATGAACACCTGCCCATCGTCCCCCCCCCCCCCCCCCCGTGGCTGCCTTCTTTGAGCTGCGGCTGGAGCCACCAGTTGGGCAAGTCAGCATCGTGCCGAGACCTGGGATATTGATCGGGCGGAGCTCGGGGGCAATATCGCATGCCTGCCGCCCAGGAGCGCACGTGCTCCCGCTGTTGGCTGACCGTGCTCTCGGCGCTCTGCCCTCGGCGCTCTGCCTCTGCCCGCGGGCGGCGGAGAGCGGTCGGTGTCAATGTGTACAATCGATCAGTTATTACTGCGCCGTGTTCATGACGGCCTCGGCACACTCGTCACAGCTACCTGCGCCTGAACAGTGTGTAGCTCCCATGTAAGCTGGTTTACGGGAATGGCGAACTGGTTTGTGCATCATCACACCGAGGCCAAATGCTTCCAGATCAGGCGCCCCGCAGTAGACCCTCTCCCGTCCCCGCCCCCTCCACGGCCCCTCCGCGCCGACGGGAGTTCCGTGCTGCTCTCGGCAGGGTTACCAAAGCTTGGGATTTGTCCCAAGATCTTGGGATATTGAACCCGACCTTGGGACCTTGGGATTCAACAGCAAACCTTGGGATTTGTCCCGAGCTTACGACTCCCGCTAATTTTAGCACATTTTTTTAATCATTGGAACAAGGAAAAGTATGAATAAAGACCAAACAAAAGAATCAGGAACACATCTAACACAACTTAATTGTTTTTTTTTTTTGTAAACCGTCCTTTTTGGCCGAACACAACCGAGCGTTCTTTCGTTTGGTTTCACTGTACCTTACCAAGCAACCAACGAAGCACGAATAAGTTATCCTTATTTGACGCGTCTTCACTTGGTTTCTCCCGTCTCAGCTCTCAAGTGAGGCAGTTAGCGAAATACCCAGTGGCTTCCGCGTCGATTAACACCCGGCCTGGCCGCCTGTTTGCGAATTGCGACGCCCGACGGATCGGAGGCGGATCCAGCTCAGAGTTTGGGGGGCAAATCATAAAATTTATCGATTCTTTCCACGCATCGTCCATAGGCGTAATGTTAAAATTATGCCGTTTGGGGGGGGGGGGCAAATGCCCATTTTGCCCCCCCCCCCCCTTGGATCCGCCACTGCGACGGATCATGCTTCAACTCGTATCGTATTGCGGCCGGCGGGCGGCGGCGACGACCTCGACCCGTCTCCAGTTCGGCTCGTCTTTCTGGAGAGTGGAGGGTGCAGGCTCAGAAAGTCAGAAGTCAGAACTCAGTGTCGTCTGTGAGGGAACGTACAAGGGAGCGACTGCGGCTGTGTCTCTGTACCTATGCCTGCGTGTGTAACTGTGCCGAATGCAAGATATGTTAACGATATTGATTTATTTAGTCAACCAAAGATTTGAAAATACGTCAAATACACTTTGTTTGCTCTATATTTGGTTTCTATAGACCTTGGGATGCACATTGGGCTTTGATCCTGTCGACCTTGGGATATGGAGCTCGATTTTGGGAAATTCGCGCGGCGATCTTGGGATTTAGAAAAATTCTCGTTGGTAACCCTGGCTCTCGGCAGAGCCCGGCCGAGCCGAGCCGCCGGAGCACGCTCTCTCTCTCCCTCGCTGCCGGCCGCCAGGCGTCCAGAGGTCAGTTGGCTGCCTTTTTGTCGCCGGCTCTGGCTGCTCGGGTTTTTGTCGACTCCAGTCATTCTGAGCCCGCTCGGTAAGTCACCATTGCTCTCGTTTGCAAACAGTTTTGCTGATAAACGCCCACTTGCTTTATCTCTGCATCATTCAAACTGCTCTCATCCGTCTCAGCTTACCGCTTGTGTGCTGGATATTACGCTGCTGAGTTCCGAAACCAGTTTTTGACAGGCGTCGATTCAGTTTAAGTCTGACTGCATGGTAAAAACCGGTGCTGCTGAGTGTTTGAACACAGACTTCCATGTACATTATGTAAGCGGTGCCGAGAACACGACTTATCCTTCGGTAAAATCCAGGCATATTGCTGGGCATGTGGCTGTTGTCAGAGAACTGGAACTGTGCTATCGCTATCCGTATTGTGTAAGGTCGAGGCGCCTAAAGCGGTAAACACAGACGGCTGGCAGCCACTGCACTGGTTGCGTCAGACTCAGCAGCTGCCAGTTGTCAGCTGTCCGTTCCGGCTCCGGAGTCCGGAGTACTGGCAGTGGTGTCATTCGGAACTTGAATCTTCGGAATTCCGATTTTGTCCAATGTCCAATTCGGAATTCGGTTGGACAATGACAGCAGGGTTTGGACAACTTTGGACAATCGCTTGCTACATGACCTCAACATTTTTATAAAGTAATCGTGTTTAACATTGATTGGCTATTACAAAGCTCAGCTTTCGATATGATTACCACTTTTGAGCTGGTAACGATACATTAAAACCAAATTAAATAATGGTGTTGAGTGTAAACTATTGCGTAGATGTCGGACATCTTTGGACAAATGGCTGGCTTGGACATTTTTGGACGGACAGTCGACGTAAGTATTGGACATTGGACGGACATTGAACATATGTTTTCTGAAATTGACATCACTAAGTACTGCTGTACTGCGGACTCTGTACTACGGTACAGCAGAACGAGTACTGCGTAGCCGGCTGCTAAGCTGGCTGCTTTTGAGCCCGACGGAATGTTAGATGTCTGCTCAGAGACATTGGATCAGCCTTCCGTGGAACATCTACGACTCTGTACTGCTGTCAGTTATTCCAACGCTGCCGAGCTCTTTTCGAGGCGGAATTCCGTCTGTATTTCGTAACTGAAGTTTTATGTACTTTCTCTTGACATTGTCTTTCAATGGCCTCATGCATTTTCGTACTACCTGACCTTGAATAGCTTACTTGCGATCCAATAAGCAGGGAATTATTCCTATTCGTCTTAGGATCGGGCCTGTCAGATCTGCTGGTAGCTTCGACTTCCATCATCCAGCCGAACACCGATTCAGTCTGTGTGCCACAAATCTTTAATTTTCGCCCTCACCAAGTCCATGAATCGTCCAGGTCACTTGTAAAATAGTCGAGAGGCAAACTCATCCTTTCAAGCGCGCTGTGGAGACTGCCGTGTTGCCTTCTCTTTCCGCTCGGTCGCCGCTTTGCATAGATCCTGGCGCTCTCATCCAGAGGTCGGATCCGCTCGGTTATATAAGATATTTGGCAGCCACATTGTTACATAAACAGACAGTGCACGAGCTGGTCCAATGTTTTGGCTTTATTCTGCTTTGCAAACTTAGCCATGCTAACTTTTCTCAAGTGGGAGATGAGGAACGTTAAATTTTTGTTAGTTATTGGAATGTTAGCGTCAACAGAAACTTGGTTTTCGGAACCG